ACTACAATTCATTTTCTCTCTCCAAGTGTCAGTTTTCTCCTCTTCAAATCCAAAGATTGAGCCTACTTTCAACATATTTTTAAGGGTGAGGTTCTGGGTGTGCAATGTCAGACATGTCCATGCAGCATAGTGAAAGGTGATGCCACAGTGGTGAGTAATGTTTGCAGGAAAAGCAATTTGCAAATTCATAAACCTATTCTGAGTAAATTGAAATGACTTCTTTCTCAGCTCACTGAAATACATTTATAATATGTAGTTGCCTTGAGGTATCATTATTGTTTTTCTTTATCAGTATTTCTGACGTGTCAATAATGATGATGCTAAATTCCATACATCAAGACTATTATTGCATCAGCTTAGGTACTCTCTCTGTCAAAAGTTCCATTGACATCTTAGAAAACACTCATCCAATCCATTCTAAGTATTTATTAAGCATGTAATCTATGCCAGGCACTCTGTTAGGTGCTGATGGTACAAATATAAAACAAAACAAAACAAAAACTACCACAGACTCAAGAGGTTTACATTCCCCTTGGGGAATGACACTCAGAATTGAACACAGCATTTCAGATGTGGGGTGAATCTTTTGGTTGCCATGTCACACTATTGTCTCATAATGAATTCATGGTCCAATGAAATTATCATATTTTTCATGTAAACTGTTTCATCACATTTCCCCTAACCTCTAGTTGGGCAGTTGATCTTTAGAAACTAAATATAGGATTTACATCAATTCTAATAAAGACTCACCCATTACTCTAATTTGGCAAGGCTGGAGAAGGAGACTTGACACCATTATCCAATTTAATATATATCTTCTACCCCATCAGCTTTGGCATTTGTAGATTTAATGCCATCTCTTTTGCTTTCATCCAAGACATTAATTAAAGTATTGAACGTGGTTAAAGACAACTCCACGGAGTTACCTTTTTAGAGAACTCCTTCTGGGTTTACAATGATCTATTAATGATTGAATTCCTTTGGCCCAATCATTCAAGCCAGTCTTTTCCCAAAAGACTGTATTATTTAATAGTATAATCCTCATATCTACATCCCATCCACAAGGATAATGTGAGACACTGTAGCAAATGCTTTGCTAAATTCAAAGTTTACTATGTCTATGGCATCCTCCTTGTCTTCCAATCTAATATTCCCATTAGAAAAAGAAGAAAAAGGAAATGAAATTTAAAAAATGCGAATTAAAATATCTCTAAGGTTTCACCTCACACTTATCAAATTGATAAAGATAACCAAAATAAAAGTCAATGTTGGAGAGATTGTTTGATGAAGCTGTGAAGAGTCTAACTTTTCTTGATAAGTTTGAAATTATGCAAGAAAAGTGATTAAATACTTCAAACTCTTTGAGCTACCAATCCTACTACTAAGCATATATTCCAAGGAACTGAAAGATAGAAGCAAAAAGCCAATATATACCAAAATAATCTTAGTGCTATGTTTTATGATAGCAAAGCATTGTAAACAAAATGAGTGCCCATTAGTTGGAGAATGGCTAAAAAGTTATGTCATGTGAATCGATGTACATCCGTATCACTGTGCAGTAACAAACGAGCAAGAAAAAGAATGCAGATAAACACGTGCAGAGCTGTATGAAGGGGTGCAGACAGAAAGGAGCACCACCAGAAGGTCAATGTATATAGTGATGACAACATTGTAAATTAAAAGGTCACTGAAAGAAAATCAAACTGAGTTATTGCAAAACCTTCAACGATCCTAGGGAGCAAACAATGAAACTCTTTCCTCTCCACTTTTAGAAGAATGTGAGAGCTAAGAGCCAAACATTGTACATCTTACCAATGGTACCACTGTATCAGTTGTTTTTACTTAATTGTTTAAATTTGTTACAAAAGAACATTTCGTTCCGAGGGGTCAGGTAGTGAAAAGAGTGACACTCAGATGTGTTTGTGGTGTATGAACAAAATAATCAGTTTTTAAAAAGGAATGAAATGGGACCAATCTGGCACAATCTGTCTGGATTATTAGGGATCATCATCTCCTTCTCAATTCACCACCACTTTAATAATATGTTCTAGAACTTTCCTGATCAACATCAGGCTCATTGGACTATAATTTAAAGGCTCTTCATCCATAAAAATTGGGACAACATTTGCCTACATTTAGTCTTCAGCATCTTTCCCATTCTCCACAATTTTATACTCACCACTGGCAGCTTGGTGATGAATTCTGCCAGTGCCTTCAGGATCTTAGGGATGCTTTTGTTGTGAGGATCAAATGATATAATACATGTAAGGTACTTTGCAAACTTTAAAGCACTATGTAAGTAAATGTTATGGCTGTTTGTTTGTTTCTCTGGCAGTGCTCTTTCTTGTGGTACGAGAGTTAAAGGGCTGGGCCTGTAGTCAGGAAGATTCAGGTTCAAATGTGGCTTCAGAGGATTCCTAGCAGTGTAATCCTGAGCAAGCCATTTAACCTCTATGTACCTCAGTTTCCTTATCTGTAAAATCAGGATAATAACACCTACCTCCCAGGGTTGTTATGAAGATCAAAGGCAATGTTATTTGTAAAAATCTTAACACAATGCCTGACACGTAATGAGCACTACATAAACATGTTATGTATCATCTTCTCCTACATGTCCACCTGCTGCTCCTTGATCTCTTTTGCTGGATCATCATCCATATACCATTACCTAATTAGAGGCAGCTAGTGCTACAGTGGATAGAGTCAAGAAGACTTAGGTTCAAATCCAACCTCAGACACTTATCAGTTGTCATTTAGCCTCTATCTGCTTCAACAGTCAAATGAAGATCATACCTCCCAAGTACCCCAAGGTTGCTGTGAGGATCAAATGAGATAATGTTTGTAATGGTGCCTGGCACATAGTAGATGTTTAACAAGTGGCTGCTCCCCTTTCCTTCCCCCTAACTCCAGACAGCTCCTTCTTTTCCTCCTTATTCATTGTATTTCTCTTTAAATCTTCAGAATTAATTTTTAAGAGCTTCCCATGTCTCCTAGTATGACCTTCCCTGTATTCTACCCTATAACCCTTGGGAATCTACTCTCTTGAAATGCAGGGTGCGTGTCAGTCTTTGCCCAGCTTTTCACTCTTCTCTCACAAAATTGAACACAGAATGGACATTTCCCCAGAAGGTTCCCAACTTCTCTGCTTCAGCCTCTAGTTCTTCCTGGTTGGTAAGAATCAGATCCAGGCTAGCCATTCTCTTTGTTATTTCCTCTACCTTTTGAAAGATGAGATGACTACTAGAGCAAATCCGGGAACATGTAGCTACTCTACTTTTTTATATAAAGAGAGCTCTAGTAAATATCAAGATATTGAAATTTCCTATCACTAATATAGCCTTACTATGCACCAAGCTTTTGATCACTTTCCCAAACTTCTCATATTTCCTATTTCCAGCTAGTCCAGGAATTCTTAACCTCTTATGTGTCCTATATCCCTTGGGCAGTCTTTGGTGGAGTCTTTGCACCCTTTCCCAGAAAAAAAAACACTTTTAGATAAGTGAATGAGGGCTAGATTTTGGTTAGAATGTCAAGATGTCATTTTTCCTTATCCACATTCACAGACAACCTGATACCCACCCACGATCCAGAGACCCCCGGCTACCATTGTTCTGGTAGCACTTGTGGTCAACCAGCCAGGACAAGTGCTATAGCAAAGTTCTGGTGGTCATCCTGAACTCCAGTGGTGCCTCTCTTCTTCACATTATGAAGGTTTCGATGGGTATATCCGATTTTGTTTCTCTTGTCTTAACAACATCCTTCTTCCATTCCAATTTTTCTCCTTGATTCCTTCTGGTCTTTCTCCTAGAGTCCTCCTTCTCTTTCTGCTCAAGTCCTCATCCTTCACTTACTAACCCTTCTCTTCCAGAAGAGACAAGCGGGAGAGATATTAAGAAGATGATATCAAATGAATACTTCATCGCTAGAAGTGTAATTTTCTTATTCTAGGTGAGCATTTTGCAAGTTTGCAGATGGTAGGTCAGAATCATCTTGTGCCAGGCTAATTACTCTTATGCACACTGAAGTTGACCCTTATCTATATTGTGTTTCCTAGAAAAGCAGTGTGATATACTAGAAAGAGTCCTGGACTCTGGGTGGAATCCAGATTCTGTCACTTTCTGGTTGTGAGATTATGACGCTGATACACATGAACCTCTCCTCTTCTGTCAAATGGGGATAATGATGTTCCCTTCCTCCTTCCTAGATATAGTGAGGCCCGTTTATCATTAGAGCTGGAAGGGACCATGAAGTTTACACTTTTTATTTCATTGATGAAGAAATTGAGGCTAGAGAGGAACCATGGCCACACAATTAGCCATTCTGATGGCTGGCATTTCAAATCCAGGTCTCCTGGTCCCAAATCTAAGACTGTATCCAACATATTTGGTGCTTTGTAAATACAAGGCATGAAAGAAATGTCACTATTACTAATGCACCATGAATTAAATTATTTGTGGATACCAAGTCAATCTCAGAGCCAGGAACACTTGGGCTCAGGTCTTGCTTCTGACCTACCGACTGTATGACTCTGGGCAAGTCACTTAATCTCCGATGGCTCCAGCCAATTCTCTGAACTTAAGCTGTAGAGCAGTTATTGGTCTGCCTTGGAAGCGGGAGTTTCACTGGAGAACTGTATGGGAGAACTCATTGGAATTTCCTATTTCAATGAAATCAAAAGTTCCAAGTGAAAAAAAATTTTGTGAAATTATGAAAAGTACTACATGACATGATCTCCACTCTTAAAAGCATCACTGAATTATTTGTCACGTCAAATAAAGTTAATAACCCAGTTGTCTGACTGGTTGGACTTAACAATTAAGTGGCAGGAGGTCTCCCACCCAGGGTGTGCCAACAGCTTGTGAATAGTGACTCTGTAAGATTGCAATGTATAGGTGGAGAATACCTCTGTGGGCATATAAAAGTGATCCCACTCTTGGGGATGAATACACTACTCTCCGTGGAGAAGTCCCTTGCCAGTGATTCCAACTCTCCCACTTTGACCATGAAGATCAGCGGGGGCTTTCTCTTGCTGTTTGCCCTGGCTCATGTCTGCCTAGCATCCCGTGAGTAAAATAGAATTCCTTCTTTACAAGTGTCCTAACTCTGGGATTTCCCCCAACTAGTCTCAACTGGATGAGTTTTCCTGACAGGGACAGAAAGGAGTCCTCACCTGAAAATTAGGAGACCTAGCTTCAGGGCCTTGTAACTTCCTTTAGTTGAAGTAGTCTCCCAGGCTGTAAAATGAGCATAATGATGCTTGTCCTGCCTCCCGCGCCATGATGCTTTGAGGATCAGATTAAGTAATGTATGAGAAGTGATAATAAAAGCTTACATAGATGCCATTTATTATTGTTATTCCTAAAGTTAACTGGCTATATTGATTTAGAGATACAATGTGACACTGTGGAGAAAATCCTTGCCTACAAGGAACTCTGCCATTGATTTGCTCAGTGACCTTGAACAAGTTAAACCACTTCTCTGAGCCCTAGTTTTTACATCTGTAGATAGAGTTTGTTCTGAGGTTCCCTCCAGCTCTGACATTTTATGATATGAAAGTACCAGCTCATCTATTAAATGAGGTTAGGTTAAATAAACTATAAGATTCTCTCTAGGTCAAAAGCTGGGTCTTTATTTCTAGCTAGGTAGCTAGCTGGTGCAGTGAATAGCTGTCTGGGCCTGGATTAAAGAAGACCTGAGTTCAAATCTGGCATCAGACTCACAAAAGACAATGTGACCTGGGCAAGTCATTTAAACTCTGTTTGCCTCAGTTTCCTCAACTGTAAAATGAGGATAATAACAGAAGAGTACTTACATCACAGGGTTATTTTGAGGATCAAATGAGATAATTGTAAAGTGCTTAGCATAGTGCCTGACATATAATAGGTAACATATAATTGTTTATTCTCTTCTCCTCTTCCCCTTAAAGTTTACGAAGTGCTTGCCTAAAATGCTTATGGGGTAAATAGTGCAAGTAGTTCCATTTTGCAGATAGTAAATAGAGCCTTAGAGATCAAGTTCTCAACTGTCCTACCCAGCTGCCTAGAGGCAGACAGGTAGTGCACTAGGCAGAGCCCTGGGCTGGGAGTCAATAAAACCTCAGACACTGCCTCTGACCAAGTCTGCCTCAGTTTCTTCAATTATAAAATTGGGAAAATAATAGCACCTAACCCCCAGGGATTCTGTAAGGAATAAATGGGTTAATATTTGCAAAGTGTTTAGTACAATGTCTAGTATGTAATATACACTCAATAAATGCTTGTTTCTTTCCATCCTTCCAGTGTCACAGAGCTAGTAAGTGTGAAAACTCAGCCCCTAGCCCAGTTCTCTTTATTCCAAGTCAAGTGCTCTTCCCATGACATTTATGTGGATGGATAACAGAGAAAAGAAAAAGCTTGCTGACTGACCTGGGCTGAACAAGAGTGGCCCAGGCCACCAGACTTGCCCTAAATTGTAAACCAACAATGATAATTCAGAAGTTAAAAATTTGCACAGCCTAAACCCAGCTTTGGTCACTTAGTTGAAGGAGGACGGCAGTGATCACTCAAGTGAACTTCTGTCTCTATTTCTGTTTCAGGAGTTCCTGGTCAGAATTTAGGGAAGGTAAGCAGATTGTTTTCATTTCCTTCTTATTTTTCGTTACATTACATTACATCCATTCATTGGGGAAAAAATTAATGAACGTAGAATCCTGTGCTATACTGTAGGGATGAAGAAGGTCCTTCAAAGAGGAGTGGCCTCATTACAGTGGACTTGGGTTTGAGTGCTAAGTCCAACATTAGCTGTGTGACTTGTCATTGTCTGAGACTCGATTTTCTCATCTATAAAATGAGAACGATAACACTTTCACTAACAATCTCACAAAGCTGTTGTATAGAAAGTTCTCTGTAAAGTATAATATGAGTTATTATTACATGCAGTGATTTCTCATGGAAAAGCACTACCCTTGAGACTAGAACATCTATGCTCAAATTTATTTCTAGTACTTGTAAGTTATGTGACTGAGAGCAAGTAGCTTTCCCCTTTTGGAAAGTTTAGTTTCCTTATCTGTAAAATGTCAAGACTGGATTTGATTACAAAGGTCACTTCTAGGTGTGTGGATAGGAGAGACGAAAAGTAGAGCTTGAACTGGGGAAGTAACTTCCCTGCCTCACCATCCTTGTAGAAAATTCCTTGAAGAGTGAAACGCCCTCCTCCTAATTACATAAATGACCCTTGGTAATGTTAGGAAATCTTATGGACAGATAGAAGAGGATATTCTAGAATACACCAGTTTTGCCAACTTCACCTTCTCCTGCGAGGTGTTATTAAAGGCAGGAGCTGGAGGCTCAGCTTCTGCTACACAGAGATGTTATCCTGGTCTCTGGTCAGCCTCTCCTCCTAAAATGGAAGGGTGAAATGGATTCATAGAATATCAAAGGACATAGGAAGACCAACCTGGAAGGGGTATTAAAACACAGAACTTCAGACTTGTCATGAGCCTGAGAAACAAAATATGAAATGTCTAAGCTGGAATGGCCCTTACAACTAAGAATGTTATTTATTCAAGCTGGAATGGATCTTGGAAGATAAGAGGTGAGAGGGACTTAAAAAGTAAGACAGAATAATAGCATTGGAAGGGATCTCAGCAGTTTCCTAATCCAAACCATTCCTTTTATAGCTGAAAAAACTGAAACTTAGAGAATGATATAATTTAACTGAGAGCTTCCAGTAAGTTGATGTCAGAGTCAAGATTTGAAAACAGGTCTCTAGATTTTAGGCCAGGATTCTTTTCCCTGAAGCACAGTGACTTGCCTGTCTTATGAGCTTATAAGGTCAAGAGTTTCAAGTGTTTCTCTCTCTCTCTCTCTCTCTCTCTCTCTCTCTCTCTCTCTCTCTCTCTCTCCCTCACTCTTTCCCTTCCTCCCTCCCTCCTCTACCTCCTTTCTAGGAGAACTGCAGCATTTATAAGAAGTTCCCAGTGTCGGCTATTCCCTGCCCTGTTACATATTTCCCTGTGTGTGGTTCTGACTACGTGACTTATGGCAATGGATGTCATCTGTGCATAGAGAACTTGTGAGTATGGAAAGAGGCTGAAGGAATGTCAGGGCAATGGTCGTTGCTTCATAGATACATAGCATTTCCTTTTCTGGTTGAATTACCAGATTAGCCTGTCATGGAAATGAGGTAGACATATATACATTATATAAATTCTTTCATGAAAGATTTGTAGATAAGTTAGAGACCTGTAGGCTGCATGAGAATACAACTTGGTAGATTCAGAACTACCTGAATTAACAGCTTCAAGAGTGATGGATAGATATCCACACAAAGATCTCTAATGAAGGGCCTTCTAGCTCTCTCTTTTATCCTGTACCATTCAACTTATTGATCAGTAATTTAGCTAAAAGCAAAAATTTTTGCCTACAAAAATTTGCAGGTGGCATAGAGCTTAAAAGAATGGCTAACACATTAAACAAAATTCAGACTCAAGAGATCTCCAGAAAGGATTAAATCTAATATGATGCTATTTAATAAAGATAAATATACAGTCCTGCCCTTAGGCTCAAGAAATCACCTGCACAAATATAAGATAAGGAAGGCATGAATGGCTGTTAAGTAGTTTGTGTAGAAAAAACCCGGGAATCTTATGGACTATAAGCTCAACATGATTTAACAATAGGACACAACAGAAAAGAAGACAGAAACAAAATAGTTGCCCTTCTATGTAGAAGAAAAATTACTTTTTTTGCTTAGTTCCAGGGGGCCATATGCATATGTGTGTATGTGTATATGTATATGTATGCATATATGTGTGTATGTATGTATATGTACATATACACATATACATACATATGCACATATATACACACATATTTATACTCCTATACTCATTACTTCTAGTTCTGCCCTCTGAAACCAAGAGGAAAAAAATATATAGATATAGATATAGATACAGATATAGATATAGATAGATATATGTGTGTGTACATGTATATATATATATATATATATATATATATGTAAAAAGACACATACACACCCACACTAGCAATAGAGCTGTTTTAAAGTTGAATGGCATCTTGGGGGATAGCACTTTCCTCCTCAGTGGAAGTATTCAAGCAAAAAATGGGTGACCACTTCCCAAAGATTCCCGATCAGGTATAGGTTGGTCTAGATACTTTCTGAGGTCCCTTTCTGACTCTTATGTCATGATTCTATGAGTAGTCCTGATCTGGAAGTTGAAAGACCTGGTTTCTAGTTCTAGCCTTGCCACTGTGTAACCTTATATAGTTCCCTTAGCATATCTGGGACTTAGTTTCTCTCTAAGGTCGTTTGGACTAATGGGCTATATACTAAGGTGGCCACTACTCCTGACATTGTGTGAATCTGTAACTCATAACATTTGTTACTCTATATATGTCCTTAGGAAAACAAATGGAAAAGTGACTTACCTTCATGATGGACATTGCTAACTCCCCCATGAACCAGAGAATAGAAAAATGCTAACTTCATCATCTTCATCACCATCTGAACCACTTTGGTTCCCTGATGTTTCCTGTATGTGTGTGTGGGGGCTGACTAATGTTCCAATCTAGTTGCTATTCTCTGGGAGTACCTGTGGTATCCCTCCTGACCTTCCATATCTGTAAAACACAACACATTTAGTTTTCCTTTTCAATAAAAATAATATTACTGAAAGTTCGAATTCAGTTGTGAAATCAGGTTCTCAGGGTTAACATAAATATATTCAGTCTGCCATCACATGATAAGCTGTGTTTCTCAGTGGACTTGGAACCAGAAAACATGAATTTTAGTCCTGAATCTTCTAGTTGCTAACAAGATGAATATTTTACCTCTGCCTATCTGGGCCTCAGTTTCTTTATCTGTAGAATGGGAATGGGAATGGGAAAATATATATATATATATATAATCTATCTCCTAGGGGGTGTTAGGAAGAAATTATTTTATAAACAATAGTGTGTTATAGAAAGGTGAACAATCACTATGTAGGCAGGAGAAATTAAAAGAAAAGAATTAGCATTGAAAGAAGACAGGAAGTATACTGTTATAATAATCTAGAAATAAGGACTCAGATTGATTAAATTTCTGAACAGAGACTTAACAATAAACTTTAAAGTGGGGGCAGCTAGGTGCAGCCATGGATAGAGCACTGACCCTGGAGTCAGGAGGACCTGAGTTCAAATTGAGTGTCAGATACTTGACACTTACTTAGCTGTGTGACTGTGGACAAATCACTTACCTCCAATTGCCTCACCAATAAATGAACTTTAAAGTGACAGAAGATTGTACTATGTTGCCTATTTGTGTCTGTTTTAATGGACTTTATCACATTTTTTTTATTGTAGCTATTTCTATAAATATCTAATTAGGACTTCACAATGGACTAGAAATGATTGTATGTCCTCAGGGCTATATCAGTGGGCATGCCAGTTCTGCTAAGTGCTACCAAGTTGGAAGTCGAGTACTGGTCCAGTAATAGAGTGCCCATCTATCATCTGAGGACTAGCTATATTAAGTGTGGACAGCCTCATCAATGGAAGGCTGATCATCAGGGGGTGAATATTGTTCAATTACAACAATTCATGCAGAATCATTGAATAAGTCACTGGGGATTTGCAACTTGATTCATTTGGGAAACACATTGATGAAATCATGCATCCTTGAAGTATTGAAGAAACGCTTCTGGGTATACTCCACAGCATGCCACACAAAATCTTGCCCATAATCCTGTAATATTTCACTGTATCCAGTATCTCATTGGTGTTAGAACTCTCTCTGGTAGTACAGATGATAATTCATTAATGTCATAATCATCATCATTGTTGTCATCATCACCACCAAAACAAAGATTTATATTGCATTTTCAAGATTTACAAAGCACTTTACATTTGATCTTTACAACAATTCTGAGAAGTAGATTCTATTTTTACCATGTCTGTTTACAGATGAGAAAACTGAGCCTAAGAGGTCAAGCAACTTGCAAGTCAAAGTCACACAGCTGCTAAGTGTCTAAGACAGGAATCAGACTCAGTTTTTATTCTCCTAAAGTTTATTTGTACAAACAAAACAAAACAAAAAACCTTATTAAAGTGTCTGCCTATTAACCTTCCTGCTTAATGTCTTTGTTTTGCCCTAGTTTTAAAAATTCTTTGAAATCTAAAGACTAGTCAATGTTTCTCATAGAAACAACACTATGCTTCCTTATAACAATTTGGGATCAACTCATGTGTCCTACACCATTTCTATTATAAAAAGTAGGACCATATATTTGGAGCTTGATTTAATTAATTCATTCCAATATGTCAATGAAATAGAGCACTGGCCTTTTATTACCTGCTTCCCCTCAATAGGTCATTCTGATCTTCTAGCAGGGTAACAAGGCCATGATTGCACTGGCATAAAAGTTGTTTGAAAAGTACAATGCTTTATTATAAATATATAGGAATATGACTTCAACATTTAAAAAAATCTGTGATCTGATCAATACAGATCAATGAATCTCCTGATTCACACACAAACCCTCAATACATTCAAGAATGGCTTTAGGAATTGCTGTGGCCAAAATTATCATTACCTGTGGTGCTAAGGAAGGATTTTTAGTGTTAGTAGCAGTGGTGGTGAGAGATTCAATTAAAGCAGATTAGCCCAGGAGCATTAGGGATGAAATTAGGAGTAGATCGGACCCAAAAAATGGAAAACATCTGCAAACAATTTTTATTTTCTCCAATGACAGTATAACTACCACAGTTGAATTCTAACATCACAATATGCTACATAAGCACCCTCCTTTATTCATGAAACATAAAGTTGTCTAAATGAATCAGTTGAATCATCCATTGTTGTGTTTAGGGATAAAATCAATTACAACACTTATTAATTATATGGTTTCCTGATACAAAGGTCTCTCTCTATTCATCAAGAGTCCTAGCTTAGCATAAGATTTCTGAAGGTTAAATAATCTTCCAAGAGATTTCTAAGCAGTTACTTCAGACTACAAACTTTGCATTGTAGTAACATACCCAGGGCAGGTGGCTTATCTAACAGAAAGGAAAGAGCAGACAAAGAGAGATTTTGTGAAATAAGGGCAGAAAATTCAATAACCTATGGCTTCAAGGACACCAGGATAAGATGAGGGTATTGCAAATAAAACAAAGGGACCATTCCAGGGAAAATGCACCCAGCACTCCCTGGGGAACTTCTGGGGACTCTAAACATATGGCACCTCATTACTTGGGCCTTTCCAGAATGATCAACTGTATGGCTGTCGCTTTCAGCTAGTTGTGGCCCCAAGGCTTCCATCTGGGTGACAGAGAGTATGACCTCTGCTTTGACTCTCCTATGCATGGCTAACAGTGGCACTCTCATACTCTGTCACCACTGGCCTCACAAGGATCAGGGACTCAACTAGGCAGCCTTATCCAGGTGCCCCTAGATGACTATGTTCCTTTTTTTGGGTTGGTTCTTTCCTTATCTTAGGCAAAATGAGGGCACATGTGCCAAATTAATTAGAGCAGCTGCTCTTCTTGTATTGGTTTCCCACTGTAGAAGTAGAACATTAGGGTTACACATCGATAGGTAATTGAAAATATAAAAGGTAGACCGTAATGCTTAGCTGAATTGACTAGATCTATAGCATGGGTTACTCGTTGTCAGTTGAGACTAATTTACTCCTACTTGATCATCATAAAGCACAGGTCTGATGTCAGTCTTTCTCCCCTCTTACCCATCCCCCTCATCCCTTGCCAAACAGTCAAGTAACATCAGTGGCTCTCTCTAGAACAACAACAAAAAAAAAATTTAAAAAAAAGAAAAACTTCAATTTCAATTCCAAAGCCCTCCATAACCTGGCCTATGTCTCTAATGTTATACTTTGCTTTCCATCCCCACCCCCAACATACTGTGCAAGCATCTATGAGCCCCACCATCCTGTGCAATCCTGTGACACTGGAACCTTGACATTCCCAGCACAAGTCACTTCTATCTTATTTTCTGAGCATTTTCACTGGCTGTCACTCATGCCTGGAATGCTCTTTTTCTTCATCTCCATCACCAGTTATATTTACAAGTTAGGTGCTAAGCTATGTTGTCCTTACTTGCAAAGGGGCTTCAGCACCCTCTTTGTTCTGTACCCTAGGGCAAAAACTCCATCATCACATGCATGTTATAGTTCTGTCTAAAGGTGGTAGTTATATACTTAAGGAGCTCAAAAATGTGTGTGTGTGTGTGTGTGTGTATGTGTGTGTGTGTGTGTGTGTGTTGTGTGTGTGTGTGTGTGTGAAAACAAGAAAGAATACGTCATACATCATACAGGTCAGAATATGTAACCTGGGGTGTAGAATCTTGATAATCATGGCAGGTGGGGAGAAAGTGGACCTCCCGTCCATAGTTCGGTATCTATGAGCCCTTAAGCTAGCCTTGACAGAGAGACAGAAGTTCAGTTAAGTTCCATGTTTTTCTAAGTGATTAAATAACCAGGGTCATCAAAAGAAATAGCTTTTATTACTGACATTTTCCTATAGCCAATAGAACATGACTCTCGGAAATGCTTGGCTAGACAGTTTCCTAAAAACAATATCTGTATACAGTTTTCCATTGAACATGTCAAGCTACAATAATAAGACACTTTTCAGGCAAAAGTGAAAAATATTTATCTTTAGGACCATGAAACAAGGAAGAATTGAGGACAGACATCATCCTACAGGAACTCTAAAAAGTCAGCACTGACCATCATGGTCTATGTAAACTGGTGGTTCCTGTGTTCTTAAGGGAAAAAAGGAAGATAAATTCAGTGTTACACTCTTGAATTTTAAACATCTCTAAATCCAAAAAAAGACTAATGTCATCCTCAAGGTAAGGCATATATGATCATGGGACGATAACATCATGGAATTAAAGCTGGAAGCAATTTTAGAGATCATCTAATCCTTTCCCTTTAGAGTCCCACTGACCTCTCTCTACCTTAGTCAGAACCTATCTGAAGTACCATGATCAGCTCAGAGTGCCATTTTTATAAGCTACACTACCTAGTAAAGGGACTATAAGACATGTCATATAAATAATGAAGACAAAACTGAAGGACACATAAGGGTTATCTTCAATTATTGCGAGGACTGAAGAATAATTAGACTTATTCTCCAGAGCCTCATAATTCAGAATTAGGATCAGTAGGGGAAAGTTCTTGGGTAGCCATAGTCAACTAAATACCAGGTGTCCCAAAAAATCTTGATGTAGTCTAAAATGTATTATTTAAGACTATTAAAATTGCCCAAAGATTTGGGGGTTTTTTTGTGAAATAAACAAAGAAACTTTCTGATCATTACAACTATACAGCAGTGCAAATGTCTGCCTTGTGAGATAGTGAATTGTCCAGTAATAGAAGGGGTAGAGCAGAGACTTAAGGACCAACTATCAGAATTATTTAAAGTAAATATTCCTGCTCAAATACAGTTGACCCTATGGGGTCTCTTCCAGTTCTAGGACTTTATAGGTCACTTCCAACCTTTCAAATGTACTGGTACATGAAGTCACTTTCTTGCAGCTGTGACAAG